ACATGCCTATAATCCCTGAATCAATGAATAAATAAATAAGTAAATAATAAAGGTTGCTTTTACCAGATATCAGGATATATTAGAGGTCCACTATAATCACCTCTATATGGTAGTGGTGTAGCAAGATGATAGTAGGTCAATGAAATAGCATAATAAATCCAAAAACACACATTGCTATGTGAGAATTTTTATAAGATCAATGTGTTATTTCAAATTAATGGTAAAGCTGAATTATTTTATAAATGATGCCATCACAATAGGTCATTGATATGGATAAAATAAAGCTATACAGATGCCTCTCTTATTCCCTATAGATAACATAGCATAGCAAATGAGTTGTAAAAAGCAAAACAGTAAAAATCTTGTAAGAAAATCTGGGAGAATACATTTGCAACACTGAAGTGTGGAAGACATTTTTAAACAGCCAACTTTGAAGATATGAAAGAAAATATATAGTTGACTATAAAAATTAAAGCCATTTTGGCAAAATTATAACGAAGGGCAATAGACAAATAATAGATCTTGGGAAATTGCAATAATCATGAAGCAAATTAAAACTTGAAATAATAAGAGGGGTCTTGTAATTAATTAAAAAATTAAAGAGCCCAAAGAAAAAAATAATAAACAAGTTCCATTTTAGAAGTTGCTTAAGCTCAGTAGAAATAAAAATAATTCAATTAAAGTAATGTTGCAGGGCTGGGGATGTGGCTCAAGCAGTAGCGCGCTTGCCTGGCATGTGCGTGGCGCTGGGTTCGATCCTCAGCACCACATACAAATAAAGATGTTGTGTCCGCCGAAAACTAAACAATAAATATTAAAAAATTCTCTCTCGCTCGCTTTAAAAAAAAAAGTAATGTTGCAGCATCACTCTACATATGGTAGTGAGTGCAAAGATATAGTGCAAAGTGAGTGGAAAGGTGTGTATAAGTTCACACTTATATAAAACAAACTGGAAAAGAAAACCCTGGTGGGTAGGTGTGTATTATCATCTTGGGATGCCTGATTGGGATAGGCAAGAAGGGGTGTGTGTAAGGAGAATGCGGAAAATCAAACAAAGATGATAATTTAGAGCTGGGGCTATAGCTCAGTTGGTAGAGTGCTTGCCTCGCCTGCACAAGGCCCTGGGTTCAATCCTCAGCACCACCAAAAAGAAAGATGATAATGTATAACATGACTACATTTAGTATTTACATTAGCATAAATTATGTATTGTGTTTAAATCCTTATAGTACACATTTAAGGAAAAAACACAAAATTTAAAATAAATAATTCCAGCATTCCACTCAATAAAGCAAAAGTAAAACAACAAAACAAAGCCAATGAAATTGGAAAAAAGGAATGAGCTACATAAAGAAAAAAAGAATTGATAAATCAACCCAAAAGATTGTTCTTGGCAAGACCAATAAAATCAAGAAAATTCTGGAAGAATTTTGAAGACAGAATGAGAATAAACATCATAAGGAAATGAAAAGGTAATATTACAGACACAGAATAGGTCAACCAAAATCACAGAGACTGATGGGCCTGGTGGTACATGCCCATAATCCCAGCAATTTGGGAGGCTGAGGCAGGAGGTTCTATGTTCAAAGGCAGCCCCAGCAACTTAGTAAATCTCTAAGCAACTTAGCAAGATACTTTCTCAAAATAAAATCATGGCTAATATTAAAAAGGGTGAAGATGTAACTCAGTGATAAAGTGCCCCTGGGTTTAATCCCTACGACCTAAAATAAAAAATCACAGAGACTGTTATGTAACTCAATGCCAATACATTATCAAATCTGGGGATAATAAATTGCTTTCTATTATTTCTAAAACATATATAACCAAAACTGACTGGAGAAGAGGTAGAAAAATGTGAATGAACCAATGACTGCATGTAATACTGTAAAGATCATCTACTTTCCTCAGAGTAAATGAGTAAATGCTCCAGAACCTCCCAAAGAGGAAAAGCTTCTGAAATCACAGCTAATATTATGAAAAAGCATATCACATACACACATCAGAGAACTGGAAATTAAACTCAGTTCAGTTGATTGGATCTCATTGTCCTGGTTTTGCCTATGAAAGTTTGGGGTAGGTCAAGGAAAGTTTGGTTCTTTTTCCTTTGCTGCTTGTCTCTCTACCACACTCTGTACATTTCAGAGTTGCAGAATGTGACAGAGATGCAATGGGCAAAACAGAACAAAACATCAAGTAATAGGTTAGATGTCTGAAAAGAAATGACACCTTACCTGGAAATGTTTTTTATCAGGGTTTAACTAAGCATTATAGCCATCCTAACTTGAGGTCAGCAACTTTCTCCAACCAGAATCACATCCCCATAATGCTGTAGGAATATAGGTATAGCCTTTACCTTGTGTCAACATGCAGCTCACTGAGCAGGTCACTTTTCATATAGTCCCAGGAGAGTTCCACAGCACCCAGGTAATATCTTCGGATGGCACTAAAGCTGAATTGTAAAAGGCACAGAAAGAAGCAGCTAGAGAGTTCTATTTGCATGGCTCTTATTGCTAGAAAATGTTCAACAGCAGAAATAAAAGTCTAACTGTTCTCTAAAATATCTTTAGCTCCCAGGAGAAAGAAGGTAAATTTTCTATGATTTTGTGAAAAGTCCCAAATGTTTTGAAGAGAAATGTAGGGGACTTCATCTGCTGGATGTGACAGCAGCATGAACAGTAAGCAGTACCAGACAGAATTGCTTCCTTTTGGGCATTGGGAAGCAGCCACAGGAAAAACTGGAGTAGGAAAAGGGTGCATGAGCTAATGCTTAACCCATTCACTTCTGAAGGCAGTAGAGGCATGAAATGTCTACTGTAAATTAGAATTTTGGAGGAAAGGAAAAGAAGGAGGGAGGTCACAGTGAAGAGGTGCTTTAATATCTACTAATTTTCCTGGTCTACTCTGACTGTGTTCCTTAGGGGCAGCAACAAGAGAAGTTTCAGGATGTGAAAGGTTCTCGACTCTCATATTAGTTACTCTGCTTTCACCCTTGGGTCTTGTGTAACTCCCACAATGTGATTTTGTGTGTGTGTGTGTGTGTGTGTGTGTACTGGGGACTGAACCAGGGACAGTTTAGCACTGACCTACATCCCCAGGGTTTTTGTTTTTAATTTTGAGGCAGAGTCTTGCTAAATTGCTTAGGGCCTTGCTAAGTTGCTGAGGCTGGTTTTGAACTTGCAATATTCCTGCCTCAGCCTCCCAAGCTGATTACAGATGTGCACCACTGTGTACAACACAAGTGACTTTAAAACTATGAAGTGGGTCATGTGAATTCTGTGCTGAGAATCCTCCAATGGCTTCTTACCTTCTTAGGTAAAATCCTGTAACTTGGACTGGGATTGTGGCTTAGTGGTAGAGCGCTCACCTAGCACAAGAGGGGCCCAGGTTCAACCCTCAGCACCACATAAAAATAAAGGTATTGTGTTGTGTTCATCTACACCTAAAAATAAGTATTTAAAAAATTGTATAACTTTACCATGGCCTAAAGCATCTCACATTGTCTGCATGTTGCTTTTATGTACTTTTTTTTTAAATCTGAGCTTGCTCTTGCTATGCTGTCCTCCTTGCTTTTTCCTAGAGGCATGAAATGTCTCATGGCCTACAGTACAGTATTTCCTTTACATTAAACACCTTTCTCTGTATCTTCATGTGATTCCATTCCTATATTTCCTTTGAGTTTTGGCTCAAATTTTGTCTGTGAGGTTTGAAATGGGACCATCAAAATTACATGGTTGAGATGTTCACTGTTATTGAATAAGTCTGTCAGCTTCATTTTTCTTAAAAGTATTCATGAGTATGTGTCATTGATTTTGTTTATTTATTATGTGGTCTTGTTATCTGATGTATTTGTTTGGTTCAGGTATAGGATATATCTCCTTACTTCAAAATGTAGCTATGCTGAGGTCAAACAGAGAGTGTACTCAGGTTAATATGTATTAGAGGGATTGAGTGCCTTCCTAAATGTCTCAAAGTGCAGGAGCTAAGGTAAAGAAACTTTATCAGCTATAAAAAATGTTATCATTTAGTCCACTTCTGCATGAATGAGAATGCTTATTGAGTAATTGTTGAGCTTTTGTCTAGCGTGCAAAACAAGTAGCGAGAAAAATCTGTTTGATAGACATTTGGTGAGACCTCCCATTTCCAGGAACCGGCATGCAAAGATAATAGCTGGCAGGTAGTATATGCAGGAAATCGATGTAAGTAATTTCTAACATATCTGCTATTCTTGTGTTCATTTCTGGGGCAGTGCAACCAAGCAGAAAGGGGTTCGGGAACTTGGTCGTGGTCACACAGTTTTTAAGCTGTAGTATTGAAATATATATAATTGAGCTCTAGAAATCATGCTCCTAATTAGTGTGGTAAAGTTTTCTGCCCCAGAAATGAATAAACCCTGTTGGTGTCATCTGAGGGTCACAGTTTAATGGGAACGACAAAAAAAGTAGACATGTACTCACAATATAGGGTGTGCCAGGTGTTTAGCACTTACTGATTTCATCCTCAGATAACATCGTCAAACGGGTACACCTAAACAACTGAGGCAGAGGGAGGTTAAAGTGTTTTCTTAATGCCAATACCCATTTGTCCTAAACAGAGATTGTTGTACGCAGCGGGTGCACAGCAAAGAAAAATAGAACGAGACAATAATTAGTAGTTAAGACACATAAGTATGTTGTGATTGGAATGTTTTAAATGTGTAAATTGTGTTTTCCACCTTGAAACAGTTGTGGGCATATCTGAGGAGATGATATATCGAGCAGATATGTGGTCAGTGATTACAAACTAGACGAGCACGGCTTTAGGTGAAAAAAAATTGGGGGGCGGGGGTACTGGGAATTGAACCCAAAGTGCTTTACCACAGAGCCACATCCCCAGCCTTTTTTATAACCACGTCCAGTTTCGGGTGAAATATTCTTACTAGGGAAGGGTAGCGTGGTGGTTACCAGAGCAAGAGTATCTGCGCAAGTCATTTGGGCGGGGCTATGGGGCTTGTGACGCCGACCGCAGAGCCTTGTGACGCAGCTGTTAAGGGGGCGGGCAGGTGCTGCCGCGCCTAGCCCGCCCTCTTCCGCTGCCGCCGTGGGAATGGAAACATCTGCCCCACGTGCCGGAAGCTTGCTAACCACACCAGCGCGGTACTCCGTGTCCTGCCGCCCCGATCCTCTGCGAGTGGCCTCGCGAGAAGTGCTCGCCGAAATGGCTGCGTCCAGTCAAGGTAAGGGCTGGAGCGCGCGCGAGCTGCGCCGAGGGGAGCCGCCTTCCAGGGCTCGGGAAGTGGGAGGGCTCCGCGCCTGCCAGTCCGTGACGAGCTCCCCAGGGGACCCTAGTGGCAAGGGGAAGGATAAGGCGCCATGACCCTCCCCTGGCCCAGTCACTCCAAAGTCCGGCCAAGGTCACGCGCTGGGCTGGGGCTGAACTGCCTGGGATGTTGTTTTCGTGGCGAGCTCATGCAGGCTTCCGGTACCGCTCCCAACTGCTGAGTCCTGGAGACATTCCGTCCCTGTTGTCGGAAGCGTTCCATTCCCTCGAGAATAGCCTCTTTGTCCCTTTGGACGTTCATATTAAATGTTGGGCGGGTGTCATTCTCATTCTGGGCTCCCCATCTGCGTTATTTATGGTTTTTCAAAAAAGAACCACATATGACATATTACTTTCAAATACTCCATTTAGTCAATTTACTAACAGGGACCTGACCTTAACATGATTTGCAGTAACAGGGCTTGGTGGTGCGCGACTATAATCCCAGGGACTCGGGACACTGAAGCAGGAGCATTGCAGGTTCAAAGCCAGCCTCACAATTTAGCAAGACCGTGTTTCTTAGGAAAAAGAAATTGGGGATACTGTATTAAAATGAAAGTACTCAAACCTCATCATCTCATTATTTACCATATTTTACAGTCATCTATGCCCCTTCAGTAATTTACATCTATTTTATATGTGCATTTCTTCCCAGTACTGGTTTCAGTGATGTCACAATTTATGCTCAACAAATGCACCATAGAAATTGGTATGTACTATAAATGAATTCCTACCCAAAGCCAATAATTAAGCATTTTTCAACACCACTTAATTTAGGTGACTCCAAGCAATTGGAATATACAATCTAACCATTGTTGTCTTGCAAAACAAACTGCAGGCACTCACTTAAAATGTACATCTTGATCAGATAATGCTACTTAGGGATGCTTTTGTGAATTTTTTTTGTGTGTGAGATTTTTAAAAGGGGGATACTGGGAATTGAACTCAGGGACACTCAACCACTGGGCCACATACCCAGCCCTATTTTGTATGTTATTTACAGACAGAGTCTCACTAAGTTGTTTAGTACCTTCCTAAGTTGCTGAGGCTCACTTTGAACTCGTGATCGTCCTGCCTCAAGCCTCCTGAGCCACTGAGATTACAGACATGTGCCACCACACCTAAAGTGAAAAATTTTGAGGTTCACACACATTACAATCTTTGTCATGCTGATGATCACATGATAATAAACATGGCTACTATTTGATGAATAGCCATGTTTCATGAATGACTAAAAGAAATTAGATAAAACCCACAGTTCCCTAATTTAATCCCCCCCATTTTTAAACATTTTTTAAAAAATTTTCCCTGATTAAAATCAAAGAGTTTTGTGAATTATAACAAGTTGATTTTAGTTTGGGAAGAGTTATATACAAAACTAGAAGACAAGAAATTAAAAAAAGATTTTTTTAGTTTTAGATGGACGTGATACCTTTATTTATTTATTTTAATATATATGTTTTAGTTGTATTTGGACACAATACCTTTATTTATTTATTTTTATGTGGTGCTGAGGATCAAACCCAGGGCCTCACACATGCTACATGAGCGCTCTACCACTGAACCACAACCCCAGCCCCTTTATCCCCCTTTTAACTAGAACTAATTATTGACCTTAGGAGCTTGGTAAAAACACATTGTAAGAAAACCTCAAAACTCATTCATTTTCACTGATCATTTCTTCTTAAACAGTAATGTTTTCTTGTTATATTACACAAATTTAATTACTGTTAAAATCTTACAGGATCTGCTTCTTCACTCATCCATATTATGGCTCTGCTAAATTGTGATATACAGTCTATCCTAAATTAATTTTTTTTCACTACTGAAAATAAAACCAAAGGATAACCTACCACTGACCAACATCACTACCCTTTTTACTTTTTATTTTCAGACAGGTCTCCCTAACTTGATGAAGCTGGCCTTGAACTTCTAATCTGCCTACCTCACTCTCCCAAATTGTTGGAATTACAGGCATGTGCCACTATGCCCAGCCTTCAATTAGTTCTTGAATTTTTATTTTATATATGGTACAAACTACAACTTAAAATCCTTTTGGTTTTTAAATATTAATATTTACTAGGTCTAACACAATTTGTTAAGAAAACTCACTCTATCCCATTGACTTACCTTGGTTCTTTGTTACTAAAAATCATATGACAGAATGTGTGAATCTATTTCTGGATGTGGTGTTCTCTTTCACTGGTATATTTGTGTATCCTTAGATCAGTTCAACAGGGTATTGAATACTACACTTTTATAAATCTTGAAATTGGGTAGTTGTAAATTGTAGTGCGCCCTTACAATAAGTTTTGAAATTCCTTAAATTTTCTTCTTTTCAGGTTCCATGGTGGCATAGGCCAGCAATCCCAGCTACTCAAAAAGTTGAGGCAGGAGTCTCACAAGTTTAAGAGCACTTAGCAACAAACTTTCCTAGCTAAAATATCAGACCTCACAAAACAAGAGACAAGTCTTAATGGCATGGCTGAAAGTCTGACCCATGGAATCTGAGAGCATAATAAATGGTTATAGTTCTGTGTGTGTTTTGTTTGTTTTCTTTTGTATCAGGGATTGACCTCAGGAGGTTTAACCACTGAGCCACATCCCTACCTTTTTAATTTTCATTTTTAAAATTTGACACAAAGCCTTGCTAAATTGCTTACTTCCCCCCTAAGTTTTTGAGGCTGACTTTGAATTTGCGATCCTCCTGTCTGAGCCTCCCAAGCTGCTGGGATTACAGGAATGCACTACTATGCCCAGTTTATGGTAATTTATTGTACAGCCATAGTAACCAAAATACTATTCTGTCCTTGTGCACTTTCATATAAATTTTTGAACCAGTTTATCAGTTACAAAAACAAAACAAAGATCTCTTAATCTAGTTTAAAATGGTAGTGATTCACTTTAAAATGAATATTTTCTTATTTTGTATGTTAATTCTTGTAGGTAGCTTTGAGGGAAATTTTGAGTCGCTGGACCTTGCAGAATTTGCTAAGAAGCAACCATGGTGGCGCAAGCTGTTTGGGCAGGAATCTGGGCCTTCAGCTGAAAAGTATAGCGTGGCAACCCAGCTGTTAATTGGAGGTGTCACTGGATGGTAAGTGATGTGAAAGATATCCAGTGTCTTTTGTGCATGATTTAGTATTGCAGTTATAGGAACCATCTTCTCTAATTAATGAAAGCACATTTGACTTTGGCAAAATTGGTCAGCCTCTGAAATTTTACAGAAACTGAGGCTCAGAAAGATTCATTTGCCCAAGGCAATATAGCTATTGATACAACAAGGAGCTAACCATTTATTAGCTGTCAGATGATAATGTGACACAAATTATGTTTTCATTTGTCATATGTATGTATATATATGTTCTTTTACTTTTATATATGACAATATAATTATGTTATAATTTACAACCATGGAATATATCTTATTCTAGTTAGGACCCAGTTGTTTTTTTGGGGGGGTGTACTGGGGATTGAACTCATGGGCACTCAACCACTGAGCCACATTCCCAGCCCTAGTTTGTATTTTATTTAGAAACAAGGTCTCATTCAGTTACCTAGTATCTTCATGTTGCTGAGGCTGGCTTTGAACTCATGATCCTCCTGCCTCAGCCTCCTGAGCCACTGGGCTTACAGGCAAGCACCACCATGTGCCTAGCAACCACCATTCTTAAGGATGTAAATGATGGTGGGATTCACTATGGTGTGTTAATATATAAGGACATAGAAAAATTATTTTGGATTCATTCCACTGTCTGTCTTACCTTTTCTTATCCCCCTCCCTTTCATGTTAATAGGAAATTTAGTAAGTGTATATTGAATCCTTCAATTTCAGAAACTCTTTATATTTGAAAAATCTTCTTATACAATCTAACACAACTATAGAACAGTGTACATGGTAAGCGTTCATTTTCATAAATAGGGAGTCAACTTGTATGGGGGATTAATTCCAGGATCCCTCATGGATCAAAGTCTATGGATGCTCAATTCTTTTATATAAAATGATATTCACATTTAACCTATGTACATCCTCATGTATATTTTAAATAATTTCTAAATTACTTTTATACCTGAGATAATACACATACTATATAAATAGTTGTTATTCTTTATGGTTTATGGAATAATGACAAGGAAAAAAGTATGTATATGTTCAGTACAGATTTTTTTTTCAAATATTTTCAATCCCTAAGTGGAGAACTCTTAGATATGAAAGGCTGAGTGTACCAAAGATACTTTCTTATGTTTCAGTTTTTGTTTTTCTTTGTAAATATAATATTACAGAACATTACTAGATCTTTTATTATTTTTATTTACAATCTATATTTTTAATTGACACATAGTAATTATGCATATTTATAGGATACAACTTGACATTGCAACACACATGCAATGTGTAATGATTAGATCATACTAATTGGCATATCTGCTACCTCAGACATTTATCATTTTTTTGTGTTGAGAATAAATACATCTCTAATAGCAAAAAAAGAAAAATGAGAGAGTAAACTATGTAACAACCACTCAGGTTAAAAAAAATGTGGGGCTGGGGTTGTGGCTCAGCAGTAGAGTGCTTGCCTAGCATGTGTGAGGCCCTGGGTTTGATCCTCAGCACCACATAAAAATAAATAAATAAAATAAAGGTATTATGTCCAACTACAACTAAAAAATAAATGTTTTTTAAAAATGTGGCAGCTTAAGAGGATCACAAGTTCAAAGATAACTAAAGAATAATTGTTGAGTTACTTCCTTTCTTTTCTTTTTCCCCTTTTGGTACCAGGGATTGAACTGAGGGGCACTTGACCACTGAGCCACATCCCCAGCCCTATTTTGTATTTTATTTAGACACAGGATCTCACTGAGTTGCTTAGGGCCTCGCTGTTGCTGAGGCTGGCTTTGAACTCACGATCCTCCTGTTTCATCCTCCCCAGCAGTATGTATTTTTTGGTTCTTTTTTTTTCCTTATTCAATCAGTGTTTTGTATATTCATCCATGTTGTATGTAGTTATAGTTTCTTCATTTTCATTTGTATTTATAGTTGCATTGTGTGAACATGGCATGGTATATTTATCTAGTCTATTACTGGTATTGGACTTGTTTTGACTGTTACAAGCAATGCTCATATGAACCTCAGTTAGAATGGCTGTCATCAAAAAGACAAAGTTAAAATGCTGTCTGTCCTGTAGAGAAAAGGGTACATAGTCTGTTGGTAACTGTACAGACATTATGGAAAACAGTATGGAGTTTTCTCAGAAAACTGAAAATAGAACTACCATATGATCAGCTGTACCATTACTGGATATATAGCCTAAGGATATGAAGTCAGCATACAAAGAGATATCTACATACCTATGTGTATTGTGGGTACTATGCACAAAAAAATAACATGATATGGAAATAGTCCAGGTACCCATCAACAGATGAATGAATAAAGAAAAGAGGGTGTATATTCACAGTGGTAGATGAATGGTAAAAAATACATTATATAAACATGATGGCTATTATTCAGCCATAAAGAATAAAATCCTGCTATTTGCCTAGAACTGGGGACATTGTGTTAAGTTTAATAAGTCAGGGCTGGGGATGTGGCTCAAGCAGTAGCGTGCTCACCTGGCATGCGTGCGGCCCGGGTTCGATCCTCAGCACCACATACAAACAAAGATGTTGTGTCCACCAATAACTAAAAAATAAATGAATATTTTTTTAAAAAAGTTTAATAAGTCATTCACAGAAAAACAATTAGCAAATGTTTTCTCTCATAGGAGGAAACTAAAAGTCAAATAAATAAAAATAACCATACAATGGTAACCTAAAGTTGAAGAGGGAGTATTAGGGTGTGAAAAGGCAGTCAAGGAGAGTGAGGAAAAGGGAAGGACATGATGAAAACTTGATATATACATGGATGGCAGTGTAACATTGAAACCCATTAATTTATACAATTACATGTACAAACTATATGCAGGTTCTTCACGTATTAAACATAGAATAACAATATGATTCAGCAATCCCAGTACTAGTTACACATACAAAGGAAATGAAATCAGTCTGTCAGAGAGACGTTTGCACTACAGCGATCATTGTAGCACAATTCACAGTAGCTAGACAAAATCTCTGCCCCCTTGAAGCTTATGTCTTAATGAAGGTGGAGGCAGAATGATAGACAATAATAAAGAAACAAATAAAATAGTTATATTAAACTGGCAACTGGAGGTAACCACTCAGATTCATGGACATTTCACATTCCGCATTTACAAAATAGCATTATATTTTCCCCTCCCCTTACCTACCTTTTCCTATGGTCCTCTTTCTTCTTTTCATACCATAAAAATGCTACTTATTGTCCAAATAGTCTTTTGGGACAAAATTCTATCCTTTTTACCCTGCTGTCACTCTGTCCCCAAATCTAGTCCAGCAACATTTCTCTTCTGTGTTGCTTCTGCCTCCATCTTTTTAGTCAGTCAGGATTTTATTTCTTTATGTCATGCTTCCTTTGGGACTGCCTTTCTGTAGGGGGTAGGCAGGAGGTAGATCATCTCAAGGTAAGGAAAATAAGACCATGATCAGAAATGCATATTTGTGTACATCCGACAGTGTGTCTCCTCATCTGATGTTGGTTTGGTTCTTGTAGGTGCACTGGTTTCATCTTCCAGAAGGTTGGAAAATTGGCTGCAACAGCTGTGGGAGGCGGATTTTTTCTCCTTCAGGTCTGTATATATATATATGGCATATTCCTAGATGTCTGGAAATTCTGTGTATGCCCATTGAGGAATGTTGTGTGAAGGGTTGTAGTGAAGTCCTGGCTATATTATGCTAGAATAGCTTTTACACCTTATTTTTATGTAATATTTTAAATGCTAGTAACTATGTGAGTCAAATTTTATCAAGTCCTACTCACATTTTATTTCCTCATAACATAGGACAGAAGTACATATTCTTTATAGCTTCCTTAAGAATTACTGAAATATTAAATGCATGTGATTTCAAAAATACACAATGTAGCATAAGTACCCTGTGATATAATTTATTCTCATAGGGTAATATATTCAGCTTTAACATTGGGGACATTGAGCTCCCTGTTAGAGCCCACAGTTTTCAGAACCAGTGAATGTGGGTTCTCTCAGTCTAAGGAAAGAAATAGGGAATAGCTTCTCTAAAAACAACAAAAAAATCGCTATTTAATCTTGTAGTTCTATAGCATTGGTGTTCAAATTTGATTTCATATCATAATCACCTTGTAGATAAAAAAAAATGATGCTTGTAAGTAGGTCTGATTTCATTGAAGGTTGGCATGGCCTGATAGCAGAATATTTAAAACCCGCAATATGACGCTAACGTGCATCTGTATGTGAGAACTGCTACTCTGTAGGAGCCATAACTTGTTGAACATGCAGGTATCTGAATTCACAGCCCTTTGTTTCCTCCAAGAATTGGCATCCTTAATTTTGGCAAGGTAAGTTCTGTACTACAATCATAATTGCATGGACTGGGATTGTGGCTCAGCGGTATAGCGTTCATCTAGCACGTGTGAGCCTTGGGTTCAATCCTCAGTACCACATAAAAATAAATAAATTAAATAAATAAATACAATAAAGGCATCGTGTCCAACTACAGTGTACTTATCTGGTTTAAAAAAAAAAAAAAAGAATCATAATTGCAGTGAGTTTTCCAGACAGGTCAAGTGAAAATTTAATGTGTGGAAGAAGAAAGTTGGTAACTGGCTGGGGCTTGGTTGAGGTATAGTACTGCTGCGTAACATACCCCTTCAAACCTAATGGCTTCAGACAACAATCATTTTGTTATCTCTCATGGATAATGAGAAGTCAGGAGTTTGGCAAGGGTTAAGGTGAGTGCTGTGGCTCAGGATCTCATATGGTTGGCATGGCAATCATGGCAAATCGTGGCTAGAATCAGATGAGTAGAGGGCTGGGGAAGGTCTGGGCTGGCTGAGCCTCTGTGTCTGTCTCTTTTTTTTTCATTCTAGTACATCCTGTGATTTGGTTTTATTTCTAGATATCTTATAGCTCTAGTCATTCTTGTATATGATAAAAATTTTAAAATTGCATGTTCTAACTCATATGTTGAAATGCAGTTGATATTTTATGTTACCCTGATAGCCAACCACCTTGCTGATGCCTCTTATTTGATTTGTATGAGATTTTTTGAGGTTTTATGTATAAAAATATACCATCTATGAACAATGATATTTTTACTTGATAGTATTTGTGAATTTAATTGCTTCTTGTTTTTTCACCAAGCTAAAAATTGTTTCAGTTACTTCTTGCAGCTTTCCAGCCAGATTTCAGTCAATACACAGCAACAATACCCATGACTGATTAATGTGCCACTTATCAACATATCCAATTTCCTGTTTGCCCTGGTGGACTGGACTTCAGTGTTTCTCCTTTGCAGTGAGGATCATGATGCTTTGTCAGTAGAGGTGCTTCTTTTCCCAGTTTTGTTTTTTAAAATCCTTCAGTGCATTATACAGTTGTGCAAGTTGAGAGCACAGAGACATCTCATAGTCGTGGCTTGGTCTTGTGGGACACTTCACCTACCTCCATTAACTCTTTTACATTTTTGTTAAAAAAAAATCATTGTTTATTTGTGTAGTCTGTTTCTATGCATTTTATTCTAGTCCATTGATCTGTATGTGTCTCTCTTCTTCAGTACCATACTATGTCTTGACTGCTGTAATATTATAGCAAATATTAAAATCAGGTAGTATGATTTTTCCAGTTCTGCTCTTTTTCAAAATTATTTGGGTGATTCTAGTTCCTTTCCTTTCCATATAAATTTTAGAACCTGCTTTATATCTATAAAAATCCTACTGGTAATTTGTTTCACATACACAGCATGCCTTTCCATGTATTTGGATTGTCTTTGAGTTCTTTCTTTGCATTTTGTGTTTTTCAGCATATAGACCCTGTACATTTTTGCTGGATTTATGTGTAGTATTTAATATTTTTGCAGCTACTGTACATCATTTTAAAATTTCCATTTCCAGTTCAAATTGCTATCATAGGGAAATTCAGTTGCTTTTGTATGTTGATCTTGTATCCTGTGACCTCGCTAAACTCACTTTTTTAACTTGAGGAATTTCTGGGTTTTTGTTGAATTCTTTGAGGTTTTTTGTTGAATTCTTTGAGATCCCCTGTGTAGACAAAGATATCTCTACACAGGGATATTGTGGCTTCTACCTTTTCAATCTGGATGCCTTCCTACTTTTTCTTGTCTATTGCATTGAGTATGACTTCACTTCTGGCATGATGCTGAGTAGAAATGGAGAGATGGACCCTTTGCCTTGCCTCAGCATTCATTATTTAACATTTTTTACAATGTTAGCTGTAGAGGTTTTGTAGATGTTTTTTATCCAGTTAAAGAAGTTTCCCTCTATTTCTACTTTCACTGAGAGTTTTATCATTAATGTGTATTGAATTTTGTCAGATGTTTTCATGTCTTCAAGGAGAGGCCAGATGGGACTGCAGACAAAACAGGAAACATAACAAATTTGGTGGTACTTTGAATTCTGGTCTTCTCCAATCTGTGTGCTGCTCTTTTCTTGTTATAGTCCTCAAATAGCTATTCTATGTATTCTGTTGGTGTAATAAGAGGATTCTGTGGGAGGAACTGGGTGAAATGAACTGGAGCCTTCATTTAGCATACAATTTTTGATATTCAACTCTGTTGCTACTATAAGTAGCTTTATTCTTTTTAGTACTAAGTAATATTTATTGTATAAACATGACATAATTTGTTTATCCTTTCACCTACTGATAGATTTGTGAGTTATTTCCAGTTATGCTTATAACAAGTAAACCTACCATAATATAAATAACAGCATATGGAGATTCAGTGTTGGTAGATAATGCCAAGTTATTCTCTTAAAAGTGTCCACTGAGGGGCTGGGGCTGTAGCTTAGTGGTAGAGCACTTGCCTAGCATGTGTGAGGCTGGGTTTGATCCTCAGCACCATATGAAACTAAACAAATAAGGCATTCTGTCCATCTACAACACCAAAAAATATTTTTAAAGTCTCCAGTGAACACCCTCAGAACATAATAGCAGTGTCTGCTTTTCCACATCCTCACTAACACAGGATATTTTCAATCTTATAATTTTCTCCAATCTGATAAAAATTGTAAGTAGCTCACCAGGCACTGTGGCACATGCCTGCAATCACAACAGCTCAGGAGGTTGAGACAGGAGATCCACAAGTTCAAAGCCAACCTCAGCAATTTAGTGAGACTCTGTCTCAAAAAATGAAAAGGGCTTGCAATGTGGCTCAGTGGTAAAGTGCTCCCGGGTTCAATCCCTGGTAAGCCATACCCCCTGCAAAATTATAGGTGGCTGACTTGTTATTTTAATTTTAATTTCCTTCATTATTTGTGAAGTTGAATTTTTTCCTTTTTTGCCATCTTATTTTGTGAATTATCTTTGTGGATTTTTCAAGTGTTTTTTTTTTAACTAATCTCTAAAAGAATATTTTATGAGTATTAATGTTTTGTGATAGTGCATATATTTTCTCCAGCCTGTTTGGGTGACTAGGTTGGCTGGTGGTATCATTAAATAGGGATGAGAAGAAAATAAGCAGCTGGAGGAAACATTAGAAGGGTGAAGAGTTTCAGTTTTAGATGACATATAAAAAATTTGATAAACAGAAATGATATTGTTGGGGATAGCTACAGTCATTGTCTTCATTCCTTGAAAGAAACTAACCCATCAGACAACTACATAGTTGAATTAATTTTATCCTATTTACAATTCTTTGATAAAATTGTGGGGCTGGGGTTGTGGCTCAGTGGTAGCACACTCGCCTCACATGTGAGAGACCCTGGGTTCGATTCTCAGCACCACATAAAAATAAATAAACAAAATAAAGATATTGTGTCAATGTATAAATTAAAAAAAAATATTTAAAAAAAAATTGTTTTCACTAAATAGGAGACCAAGAGGAAAGAGGAAGGGAGATCAAGGAGAGGCACTAGGGAATAAAACTTACTAAATTATATTATTATATTCTGTGCATATATGAATGTGTAACAATGAACCCCACTTTTATGTATAGCATACCAATAAAAAATTTTTAAGAGTTGTTTTCACACACCTGTCAACATTGATTTTCATTTTTTCATCTTAGTTTTTAAGCTAACTTAAAACTGTGTAAAGGGACAAGAATATAAGTTAAAAAAAAAAAAAATGCCAGCAGTTACTGAGGACCTATTTCTTTTTTTTGGTGGGGGAGTACTGGAGATTGAACTCAGGGGCACTCGACCAGTGAGCCACATCCTCAGCCCTATTTTGTATTTTATTTAGAGACAGGGTCTCACTGAGTTGCATAGCACCTTGCTTTTTGCTAAAGCTGGCTTTTAACTCATGATCCTACTGTCTCAGCCTCCCGAGCCTCAGGGATTACAGGCATGTGCCATTGCGTACCGGCCTATTGAGGGCCTATTTCTAGTACCAAACATAGGACATTTCATATAGGGTCGATGCTAAAGAGATGTTGAGTGAATGTCATCCCACAAATAACTTGAGCAGCTGTCTGAAAAAATGGAAAGTAATTTATTCTGAGAAAAAGGAATAACGAGCTTATGTTTGTTTTGTCATTGTTCAAACTATAGCTTGCAAACCATACTGGGTACATTAAAGTTGATTGGCAGCGAGTAGAAAAGGACATGAAAAAAGCCAAAGAACAGCTGAAGATTCGTAAGAGCAATCAAATACCAACTGAGGTCAAGAGTAAAGCTGAGGAGGTGAGAATTGTTTTGTTCAAATACAGTATACAAAGGATATAGACAGTTTTGTATGTATAAAATGGGGTAGATAGATATGCCAGTATCTCAGAGATGGATAAGGCTTAAAACTTAAAAAGAATTTGGAGTAATGAGACAAGAGCTATATTGTGTAGTTAAGCCTTAGTTGGAATATCTTCATTTCAGAGGCATTTTTTAAAGCTACATAATTGAAGTATTTGTTGACCTTTTTCAGTCAGTGAAAGTACAAAGTGATATAGATAGTACTTGTAGTTAACTCGGATGTGTAGACATGGGGGCACCACAGTGGATGTTAAAGGATGTATTTTCAGTGTGATCATTTTGAGTTACATTTATTTCCATGCCTGCTTATGTCTGAAACATCCATACTCTGCTTGTTCTACATGTAAATAGTAGGTAAGTAGCTGAGGGGTTGACAGACTTTTTCTGTAAAGGGCCAGATGGTATTTTCAGCTTTGTTGCTCATATGGTCATTGTCACAAATACTCAACTCCACTATGTAGGGTGAAAGTAGCCATAGATGATATATAAACAAGGGGATGTGGCTGTGTTGCAGTAAAACTTTATTTAAAATAGCAGAATAGATATGGACCATGGGGTGTAGTTCTCTGACCCCTGATCTACTGCAAAAAGCCAGGTTAAATTATATTGGCTAGCATTAAAGGGACAGTTGGTACTTTGACCCATAGTGGAGTGTGGCAGAGGTGGACATCTATGGGGAATCATACAACTTGTGGTCTGATTTAGGAAGCAGGGTGAAGATGATAACTTCAGTTTTTAGCAATAAGATGACTTCATTAAGAAGAGTTTTAGTTTGCTGGTGGAGTTGAAAGCAAAACTAGCAAGTTGAAGAATGAGTAGAAATAAAGTAAAAGTAGTAAATGAATGCAGTTATTTTAAATGCTTTGTTTAGGGAAATGAGATCTAGGAAGAGTTAGGCACCAGAGCAGAAATGAGGCAGGAAGACATAGGCATTGTGGCAGTGAGGGGACACCAGATGGTTTGGAAACTGGTTCAAAAAGGATAGAATGGCAGAATGATGGGGAATGCCAAGATGTGAGTCCCTTGTATGGTTGGCAGATAAAGCTACTGCATTGGAGTTCAAGAAATGATTAGGATGTATTAAGGAAAGTGGTCAGGAGATTGCTAGCACATAGACAAAGGAGCCATAAAGGGTGCCTAAGTGTATGTTCTGAGCCTCAGATGAATGGGCGCTTTTGTAGGAAGGTAGGTGAATGGTGGGAATCTTTGGCAGTTTAAGGAGATAAGGACCTCACTTGTTAATCAACAACAGTAATTGAAATGATTCCTAATATTAACATTCTTAGCATCTAACTTACTCATTGTGCCAAATCTTTTATTCACAGGTTGTGTCATTTGTGAAGAAGAATGTTCTAGTGACTGGAGGATTTTTTGGAGGCTTTTTGCTTGGCATGGCATCCTAAGGAGGACAACTTCACTTCCATTGTTCTAATTTTTTTCTAATCAGCAGCCTCTACACTCCATCATAGGACATCAAGTCTCTCCTGTTCTCCCATGCCTTCCTCCCTGTTGTGTCAAACCGGAATTGGCTTCTATAGTCATCTGTTGGTACAAGTTAATACAGGCCCTGCCTGCTGTGAGCTTGATGGTGATGGAAGAGACATTAGACATTAGCTCTCCACCCAGTATACTCCCCACTCGGTCAATCTGTAGGTCAGCAAAAATGTCCTTTCCCTTATAAAATACTTACCAGAATACATTGCAAGATCATTTGCCATGAATGGGTCCTCAAAGGTTGTCCCACACTTGATTTGGAAAAGAAGCAGATAGTTACCTCATGTGCTGCATGGGAAGGAAGTGAATACATTTGCCTTTAAGCATGAAAGATTTTGGTATCTTGGTGTGTATTTTATTTCTAGTTGGTTTTAGATTACAGAAAGAGAAGCTATTTAAACCTGTTATAATTATTCTGACAAAAATGGCAGTCTAAGAATGATAAATGACAGAAATCTGAATATGAAATGAACTTATGCTAAAGGGTATATGCTGTACTGAAGGTATTGTATTTGGTAGGAAGATCTCTTAGGGAAACCAGCTGTTAGAAATACATTGTTGGGTGGTCAGAGAAATCATTTAGGAACATTAAGATACTATTCAGGAATGTTTTCCACCGTATCAGATAATGCATTTCATGGCTATTTCCAAAGATTTGATTTATGGTAAAATGAATGATTTAGATAGGAGAAGGAAGAAGCACTTGGATTTTTATTTCATAGAAAAGGCTTTGTGCTTTGAAATGTGAAGTATTATTCCTGTGTCACAGCACCAGGGGTAGACATAGATCCTCGTTGTCAATTCTATTTCTTTATCCAGTTTGTATGAAATGCAGCATTTAATCCAGAATTTTATTTTATTTATTTATTTTTTGTTGATTTTTTAAAAATAAATGACAGTGGAATGCATTACAATTCTTATTACATGTATACAGCACAATTTTTCATATCTCTTAAACCAGAATTTTAAATAAGCAACATTTCAGACATTCAGAATTAAGAAAAATAATGATAGCACACATGAAATGAATTATTTCTGTCATCAAGTGAAGTCTGTGTCACTTGATGACACTCCTCCATTTCTCAGAATTATTCTTTAAAAATTTACACACACTTAACACATTTTGTTGTAATTCCAACTAGAATATCAGCTTTGGATGGTAAGTGAAAACTCCTTGTCCCAGGCCTTGAGAGCCCTTTCCCCATTTGTGCCCTTCAGTACCTGTCAGCATGTTCTTCTTCTCCATTGTCTTCATCTTTATGTCACAGGGCCTAGCACTTAATAAGTTCTGAGTATTTGCTGAATATATGAATTTTAACCTTCTAGAACAAAAACTTACTATTAAAGGTTAGTTTTACTCAGATGTAAATCTTAAAACTTGCAGTCAATCCATGTCAAAATGGGGATATAGCTCAGTTGGTAGAGTGCTTGCCTAGCATGTACAAGGCCCTGGGTTAAATCCTCAGCACCACTACAAAAAAAAAAGTTTGCTTTTTAACCTATCTTGAGAATGATGCATTGAATCTGAAAATTGAAACTACCAGTGGATGTGTAGAACTTTATAGAATTCACCTATTTGCATTTTCCTCATTAAATTACAGTAACATTTAAGGCAACAAAGTTATTTTGCTTGCAATATGTATGAATCATCGAATCATAATGGTATGAGCACCTCTCTGCTACATATTTTTTCCATGAACTTAAAAATTATTTTCACTTTTTATTATGGAAATTTTCAAGCACACATAAAATTAGAGAATACACTGACTTCCCCATGTATCTATCACCCATGTAAAACCACCATGAAATTTTAACTAACCAATTATTGTAAAACAAATACCAAATAATCATTTTATTGTATTTCAGTATATATTGTTAAAAGGTAAGTACTTTTTAAAATCATAAGTACAATACCTTATTATCAAGTCAAAAATCAATAATTCTCTAATGTCAAATATCTGGTTCAATATTTCCTCATCTCAAAAGTGTTTCACATTTAGTTCAAATCAAAATTTAAGGTCCATATTGCATTTGGATGGTATAAGTCTCTTTAATTTATAGGTCCTCCTTTATTTTTGCTTGGAGTGTATTTATTGCTAACAGTTCCGATAATTATATATATAAGTTCTTCCCTTATTCCCTACATCTTTTTTCTGATGCCAGGGTCTCTGGTTTTGGTATTTACCATGAGCATTGTCTACATGTATGGCCAGATAAACTTGTTTCGGATGTGTTTGGGGTTTTGGCACCTCCTGCTGGTGGGTATGTCTGAACATTATCCGTGAATCTTCAAGTTTGTGGACCCATGTAGTGAAAACTCCTTGTCATGGGGCTTGAGAGAGCCCTTTCCCCATTTGTGCCCTTCAGCACCTCCAGCACATTCTGCCCTCTCCCAGGTCACTACAGCTCTGCACTGCATTTTCACTACTCTGGCAGCCCTCCAACCCAATGCCCCTCCCAGGATGGGACAGGGTAGGATGAAAACTTGGGACCTGTTAGATCGGAGCTGTAACATTTGTCTCTTTGCTGAAGTTGTCCCCAGAGTCAGAGGAGTGAGGTTAGTGGTCAGGGGCACTTTCTGGCAGCTGCCTGCTTGGGCTCAAAAGGTTTGACTCTTAAGCTTCTAGTCTCCCCAAGCTCTGATTCTCTTTGCTGACCTTGAGCTCAAAGGAAACCTGCTTGAGCAACCCCACTGTTATAAGTGTTACTGGCATTCTGATGATATGGTAACAAGACTATCCTTCATTCAAATGGCCATTGTTTGCTTTGGACCTCCCACCACTCAGCTTCTGGATCTGAACAGTTACTATCTTGTGGATTCTGGAAGAAGACCAGACATATTCAAGATGGAGGAGTTTAACATAATTCTAGCTAACACTCCCTTAGGGCTGGTGCTTGTGGTTTTGAAAGGCAGAGTTCCTGTGTGGTTAACTATTAATGTGTTTTTTGTTCATTCTTTTGATCAATGTTTGCCAGAAAGATAGGCATAAAAAATGGTTGAGTTTTTATTTGCATCTTGTGCTTTTTTTACAGTTTGGGAAAATACCATAAGTCTCTGCTTGAAAAAATAGTATAGAGATGGATTTAGAATTTTTGAGTATCAGTGTTTTGGATGATCTGTTTCTTCCATGAGGGAAACTCCTACACGCAGTCCTGTAGGAAAATTAGACTGATCCCCTGTCATGCATGTCTAGTATGATTTCTTGGAAATTAGGTCCAGAACTAAAAAGGGTTCTCTGCCCAATAGTCACTTACATAGTATTGTTACCACTGTTGACCGGTGATGAGTTCTTGCTTCCCCAATGTTGAAGAATAACACCAAGGCAAGGTCAGAGTAGAAATTAGAAGTTTATTAAAGGACAGCAGAAAAGACTTCTCCCGGAGGAAGAAGGGGACCCCAGAGGTGGAATCCGTGGAAGGGATGTTGTCTCCCCTTTTTATAGTTCTTTCAGTGATGGAATGTAGGTGGGAAGGCCCGAGGGGTGGGACACAGGTGGGCCAAAGAAGTAATCTGGTCAGGAAGGACTTCTGAGTCAGCACCTTTTTGCTGGGGGCTGTTCATTAACATTTCTTTGAGGTGGACTTTGGCCTAGGGCCTTTTTGGGACTTCATTAACATTCCATGAGCTGTCATCATTGCCAGCATGGCCTCCATTTTAGATTTCACTTGGCATTAGACCCGATTTATCTAACTACACTGGCTACCTAACTTTAAATCTGGCTTCAGTATTAGTGTGAACTCTTGGAAAACAGGATGGAAACCTAATTTATTTCTTCACCTGATTTCCCAGAAATCTTACAGTGTGGCTTATATCTGTGATGCCTTTATTCTGAAGGGATCATGAATTTACAAACTATTTTTCTAAAGAAAACAGTGTTGCACTTTTTTCACATTTTTGACTTGCCAAAACTTTTTCCAATTTTAAAATGTTAAGAAATGACATGATTATTGAGAACAGTGCTTCTCAACCTTTTTTGCACATGGGTGTATCATCTGTAGAACTGTAAAATCTACTGATGCCTGGCTTTCATCCTAGAGATTCTGACTTCAGTGGTCTAGGGTGCTGTTGTGGCAGCCTGAGGTTTCAAAATGTTGCAGATGTTTCTAATGAGCAGCCAGGACTGAGAACCACTGAAGTAAAAGAGTTGGTAGCTGGTACTAATAAAATTATAGTTCTGCTATTAATGTGACTACTTAATAGGACTTCAATATCATTATAAATTAAGTGCCCTACAACTTGAGATACCTGCTACATACTGAACAAGAGTACGATATTACAGTTCACAAAATTTGAGTAGATGCAAGGAAGGGAATTGTACTGTGGTGCTTTTTTTAAATCTCTAAGATAGAGGATATCATAGTTTCCAACTTCCCTGAAGACTGAGTTTCACTGTTAATATCAACTCCTATCACAAAAAACATCTGAATGTTAAACCTTCTCTAATGGCTATTGTATTTTTATCTACATCATAATAATGGCTAAAGAGAATGAGATTGATTAAACCAATGGCTTCCAATAGATCTGTTTAAAGGAAGGAAAATTGTTTTGAATCTTTCAAAACTCTAAATACCTGGCAGCAGGGGGACATTGTTAAGAAAGCCACAACTAAAACACAGAAAAGCCATCTATTTGATTTGTAATGGTAATGTAAATCTTAGCACCACAATCTATTGATAATTTTAAATGTAATTTAGATCCATAGATGATGTAAACATTATAGTTGTAAAATGCTTTATTAAATTGTTTTACTATTAACATGAGAGTTTATTTAAATTATTTCATGGAAATTTAGCACTGTTTCCCTGGTGTGTGGACCAGACATCTCTAAAGCAACATTTCTCTTGTCTGCAAACTGGATTCACAATGGCAATACAATAGTCCTTTCCAAAGAATCATAATTCACATTAACATAGGAAAAACTCCAAAGTCCAACAGGAAAGAAACCTGTTTACCTGTGTTTAACCTAGTATTCCCCAAATATCCAAAGATTTTTTTTTTCATTACTATTCCTAGAAACACTTTCAGAAATGCTGCTTTAAAGAAACAGTTTGTCTAGGGGCTGAGGTTGTAGTTCAGTGGTAAAGGGCTTGCCTAGGACATGTGAGTCACTGGGTTCAATCCTTAGCACCACATAAAAATAAATAAAATAATAAAGGTTAAAAAAAAAGAAACAGTTGGCCTAAAATAATGGCATTTAGTCATCAAGGACCTATCAGAATTTGCTCATAAAGTCATCTTTTTCTTTTTGGAAGGAGGGGCAATGGCAGTTCTAGTATCTATTTGAGCCAAGTGGATGGCCATAAGGTAGCTGTCAATTGCCAAAAGGCTTCATTCAGTAGATTTTTATTAATATCTGGATTTATTAGAGCAGGTTTTGACTATAAGGATATAAAAAATAGGTATATGAACTAAGATTTTTTATTTTGTTCCTGCTCGCCTGACTTCCAATGGAATGTTTTTCTTCATTCACAATAAATTAGGGATCACTAAACATTACAAAAATCATTTCTATGCCTTTCATACCACTGAGTGAAAAAATATTAAGCACCTTCTTCTGACTAGGCACTGTGGTGGGGATGTAAAGGCAGAAAGAACTATTCCTACTGGCACCTAGAAGGACATTTTGTATTATTGGAAGTACAACAGGTATGGAGTTAGGTTAAAGGAAGTTTTGAGTTAATTCAGCACGTAATTTATGCTTGTTACCCTGGAGGCATGAATCTTCACCTCATGTCTCATATGACTGGTGGTATGAATTCAAGTGCTAAAGAGAATTCATTAGTAACCTGTACTGAAGATCCTTAAAATACACTTAGTACCAAGCCAAAATTTTTCACTTAAACAGGTTTATTTTAGCAGCTCAATTTTATGACATTCTACACGTCTTAATAAAATCATCTGTTCTGC